AGCGCCAAACACCCGCACCGCAGCCCCCCGGGACAGACCCAGCCGTGGGTGGGGGGCTCTGCCTGGGCCAGAGGGCAGCAGCAGCCCCGGGGGGACCGTGCAGCCGCAGTCAGAGGCGGTGGGTGAGTGGTGGGTGAGTGGAACTCGGAGCCAGGATAACAGCGGCTTCCTGCCGCGAGCTATTTTCATCCGCCCGTTTTCCTGTTTACAGCACGGCCGTGCCAGCCGCCTGCCAGGGCCCCCCGACCCACATGGGGTGCCGGCCACGGCCCCCCAGCCCACCAGGACGGGCAGCAGGAGGGGTTGGGTGGTCTGCAGGCTCCTGAGCAGCTCTCCTTGCCCGAGGGGACACGGGGGAATGCATCGATCCCGTGGGCTGGGGACATGTGACAGACACCACGTTGTCGGTCCTGGTTTTGCAGAAACCTCTTCCCAACCCTGAGCTGGAGGTTGGGATGGGGAGGGGGCTTCTGTTGCCGCTGAAGATGAAAAGATCACACGGACACAGGTCGAGGTGTGGGGAATGGAAGAGAAAGTTTATTTTTCCTCCCAGGATTTATAGGTTCTGCCCATGGCCAGGGATGGGATGGTCAGGATAACACTTTCCCACTGCACTGGCCATGAGAGATGATGTCCATCACAAGATGTGGAACAGAAAGAATGTACACATTCTTACATAGATACACATATCTTACATAGATACACATATCTATGTTTACAGTTACTGTCCTGGAAAAGTCTTTAGAAAACCATGTCAGCAAGCTCAGAAGCTGAGTTTTCAGGGCGACAGGCTTCACCTGGCTGGGCAGTGGGTGCTGATCCCCCATCCCAGCACTTTCCTGAGGGAGGTTCCTCACTTCCTAACCAGGCTGCCAATCCCCAGCCCTAGCCCTGCACTGGGGGGTCCTGGCCAGGCCCTTGGGCTGGCAACTGGAGCCCACAGCAGGGAGAGCCCTGGGGGGAACCTGTGGGATGCAGAAAGCCTGGCTGGACCAGGCCCATCCCTCCTGGCTGGGAGCGTCCATCTGGCAGGAGGGAGGGAAGGAAATGGAGGAAATTCCCAAACTGCTTTCAAGGGAAAAAGTTACTGTGGAGGAAAAAATGCCTCAAAGGTCAGACTGCCCCCTAGCCAACACCAGGCTGGGCAGGAGACACACGGCCACGGCTGTGGGGAGGTGCTGGACAAGCAGGATGTGGCCATGGCAGTCCTGGGGGGCCCCGAGGCCAGGGGGGTTTGCTGCCTGGTCTGGTGGCAGGTCCCTGCCTGGGTGGGACGTGGCAGGCAGGCGGTGGCTGGGAGGTCAGCAGAGGATGGGTGCAGGACAGGGATGCAGAGCAGAGATGTGGGGCACAGGGCAGGGATGTGGGACGAGGATGCAGTATCTCAGCCCCCCTTTCTTGCAGACCCCAAGGAGCCCCAGCGGCCGCTGGCCCACGAGTGCCTGGGTGAAACCCTGCGCATCCTGCGCCAGGTCATCAACAAGTACCCACTGCTCAACACCCTGGAGACCCTGACGGCCGCTGGGACCCTCATCTCCAAAGTCAAGGGTGAGAGCCTGGGGCTGGGAGCTCTGTCCCGCTCCCCTCCTGCCCCACGGTGGGTGTGGGGGAACTGGAGGGCCCATGGAGCCAGGAGTGGAGCTGCCCCATGGACTGGTGGAGAGGGTGAAAGCATTGTCTTCCTCTTGCTGTGGTTCAGCTTTAGGGATGATGTAGTGTCAGAAATGACAGATCTTGCCTGGGGGTTTCCAGGCACAGCCACAGGAAAAACACTGAAATAATCGGATCCTGCTCCTGGCAGCCTCTCGTGTTTATGGAGCAGGGTCTGGGAGGTCAGATCCCAGCTGGGCACCACCTCCTGCCGCTGTCACCCACGGGGAGGGGGTGGCTGCACCTACCGCAGCCACAGCACAAGCTTCTGAGTCACCTGTGGCTTCCTGGACACCCAACAGCAGCCACGGGGGACAGGATGGCAGGAGGGCTGCCATGAGGCTGCTCCCACACAGGGATGGGAGGGAATGGGTTTAGAGCAGAATTCTCCCCACCCCAATTGGCCCAGGGTCTGCCCAGGAGCCCTGGCTGCTGCTGTCCCATGGTGTGGGTGCCTGCCAAGCGCTGTCGGCCCCAGTTCCTGCTGCTGGTGGTGGTTCCTTGTTTGACTGTGGGTAAGAGCCCTCCTGGAGGAGTTTGTCCTGCTTGGAGAAGGGTCTGGAGGAGCCACGAGGCAGGGCAGGCAGTGGAACAGGTCCAGCAGCACTTTTCCAGCAGCCCTGAGCAACGGGAATAAACAGAAACACAAGCCAAGAGATGCTGTCAGGAACGTCAATCCGGGAAGGAGGAAGGGGAAACTACTGCTCTGGAAAAATCCATCATCCATAGGAATGATCCTTCCCACTGCTCCTTTGATTCACCCCAGCCCTTTCCCCAGCCCCAAAGCCCCCTCTGATACCAGCATGAGCTGGCAGGTCTTTGTGCTGAGACAGGGACAGCTGCTTGTGGCAACAGGGCTCCCACATTTCCTCATCTCCAGGTTTCCACTACGAATCCAACAATGAGGCAGACAAGCGGGAGTTCGAGAAGGCGGTGGAGGCCATCGCCGTGTCCTTCAGCAGCACGTAAGGGACTTTGGGCAGCCATCCCCTGCAGGCAGCCTGTGTCACTGTCCCTGTGCTGAGCCCAGCCGTGCTCCTGTCCCCACAGGGTGTCCGAGTTCCTCATGGGGGAGGTGGACAGCAGCACCATCCTCTCCATCCCACCCAGCGACCAGAACCAGGTGAGTGATACCTGGCTGCTCCCACCACGTGGGGCTGAGGATGGCACAGGGCTCTGGCTGCTCCCCTCAGCTCTGCTGTGAGCCCAGAGCAGGGTGTTGCTCCAGTGACAGTTCCATTAGCTCCTGGGCACAGCTGACTTCCAGCAGCGGCCAAAAGGCTCCAGCAGCTCCGGCTTCCCTCCATCTGCCAGCCCCTCCAGCTGCTCCCCATCCTCTTGGCTGACCAGTCCCTCTTCTTTCCCAATTCCCAAAGACTATGGAGAGCCTCTATGGGGGGATTCCTGGGCCTGGAGGAGATGGAGTGCCCTCGGGCATGGGCAGCTACGACTCAGGTAAGCAGGATGATTCTGGGTGCAGGGTTTGGGGTTTGTGCAGGAACTGGCACCTTTCCCATCATCGCTGCTGTCCTGAGCCACACTGACTCCTCAGCAGAGCTGGTGGCACTGGGGCTGGCACAGAGCTGGGGGGGGTTTGCACTGGAAGCCCACGGAGTGTCCATCCCTCCCCAGCCCGTCCTCCGGCCGAGGAAGTGGACGTGATGCTGCAGCGCTGTGAGGGGGGCGTGGACGCTGCCCTCCAGTACGCCAAAACCATCTCCAAGTACATGAAGGACCTGATCGGATACCTGGAGAAGAGGACCACACTGGGTGAGCGGGGGAACAGCAGCTGGGTCCCTTCTGGAGCAGGGCTGAGCCACAGGACAGGTTGAGGTCCCACCTGGAGGAGGCTGATGCTGCCAGGGCAGTGGGAACCTCACTCCTCAGGTTCCTGATTAATTTTTCAAAAGGAGATTGGGTTCCACCAGGGAAATCCTGGTGTCTCGTGTGTCTTTTCACTTTCAACCTTTTTCTTCCAGAGATGGAGTTTGCCAAAGGGCTCCAGAAGATGGCAAACAGCTGCAAGCAAACCATCAGTCAGGAGGTAAGTCCCCAGGTCCCTGAAGTCCCCAGTGCCAGACTGGATTGAGAGCCAGCAGTCCTGGAGAGCCCATTTCACGTGCCCCAGCTTGGGAGGACATGGGTACACCTCTCTAGAGCTTTGCCTGCAGAAATTCGGGATGGGGCTTTTACCAGCAGTTACCAGCCTTACCTTCCCTCTGGCTCTTCCTCCCCGAAGGACTCATCTCCTTGGGCTCATGCTGGGTGCTGGTGCTCAGGGAGATGTGCTTTCCCTCTCCCCAGACCAACATGCCTTTCCTGTCCATCTATCTGCTGGCCCTGGAGCAGGACATGGAGCACGGGACCTCAGTTCTGCAGGCAGCCAACACCCTGCAGCAACAAACCTTCCTCCAGGTGAGGGGACTGAAGGTCTTTCCCGGGGCTGGAGGTCCTGGTGTTGCAGAGGTGGCTCTTCCTTAGCTCAGTCCAGGGGGAACCTGCATCCAGCACTTCCCAGGCTGTGGATTTTCATCCCTGGCACAAACCAGTGCCTGTGACCTGTCCCAGGAGCGATAGTGACCACCACAGGGCACTTCTCCATGTGAAGCCTTGGCACAGCAGGAGTGCTCAGCTCAGCTCATCAGGGGGCTGTTCCTCCCTTCCCCATGCAGCCACTGACGGTGAGGCGCCTGGAGCACGAGAAACGCAGGAAGGAGATCAAGGAGCAGTGGCACCGGGCGCAGAGGAAACTGGTGAGTGGCTGGGTTTGTGTTCCCAATCCCAGCCTGGAAGAACCTCCTCTGAGGGTGCTGGGCACCCTGCTCCTCTCCAGCAGTGTTGGGTGCCTCTGCTGTGACAGAGGAGCTGGTGACCCCCTTGCTGGGCTCCAGCCTCACCCTGGCTCTCCCTGGCAGCAAGAGGCAGAGGGGAACCTGCGCAAGGCCAAGCAGACGTACATGCAGCGCAGCGAGGAGCACGACAAGGCCAAGTACATGGCGGTGAAAGCAGAGGAGGAGCAGCAAAACACGACCAGCAGCGTCACCACCAAAACCCTGGACAAGAAGAAGCGGCTGGAAGAGGAAGCCAAGAACAAGGTAGGAGGGTGACAGCTCTGGAGGGGCCTCCTTGCTCCTGCTCTCCCCTGAGCCACGTGGGGCAAACTGCTCCTCAAAAATGCCTGGATGAACCGGGTCCAAGGGGCTGTTCTTATTCTCCTCACCTCTGAGCTGCTCCCATCCCTTGCTCTCCCAACTCCTAGGCAGAAGAGGCCATGGCCACGTATCGCACCTGTGTGGCCGATGCAAACACACAGAAGCAGGAGCTGGAGGA